GCCAGTATTTTTTAAAAATGTTTACAAAGAGTAAGGAAAAATATTTATGGCATAAGGTTAAATGAAAAGGCAAAATATAATTGTATATACCATCTAATTCAAAAATGTTTTAAAATGCACAGAAAAAATAAAGATCAGAAGGATATGTGCCAAATTAAACAGTAGACTCTGGGTGAATGATTTATATTGAACAAAAATTACATAAGTAAATCTGTACTTAAGAAACAGTAATCTGGCAACAGTGTGTCATATGAACTGGGACAGAGAGAGAGACTGGAGATAGGACAACTATTTAGGAGGTCACAGCAGTATTTTCAGGATAAAGGAAAATGGAATTTTATCAGGCATGCAGAATGACTCAAGTACTATGCTTAATACTTTGCATATATAATCTCTTCTGATCCACATCATTACATAATAGTAATAATTACAGAACCATTTGCTGGGCGCTTTCTATGTACCAAAAATGTACATTCTTTTATTTAAATTTTAATTCTCACAATAATCCTATGTTGTAGGAGTTATTATTCCAATTTCATTGATGAGAAAACTAAAGCTTAGATTCCCAAGGTTTAAAATTCCCAAGGCCATCTAGCTGACAAGTATTGAAGATGGGATAAGGATAATGGCAGTAGAAACAGAAAAATGACATTCTGACAAGTGGTGTATGGCAGGGGATGGGGAATGAGAGGAATAAAAGATGATGCAACAAATACAACAAAAATACCTAGTGCTCTGATCTTGGTTTCTTGATACCATTCTCCAGTAAAAGGAACAGGGGCTCCTTGGAGAATGGCTGATTCTAGGACTGGGACAGGAAACAAAAAGACGAACCTGGAGCATCTTCTAGTGCCAGAAAGTAAGGAAGAGCTAAAAAAACAAAAACAAAAACCTACACTGTTGGGGTATGTCAAAGGGACACAGGGCCAACTAAATGAGCTCCCAATGTCCAAAGCTGGAACATTTGACCAATAAAATAAATAGTATTGGATTATAACCCAAAGTCCATATTGCTATAAATAAATGATTGAATAAATGGAAAAGAGACAAATCTGCAGAAAAATCCCAAATAACGTATGTAAATACTCCATCCTTAAGGAAGTGTAACTTCCCACTCTTTAAGTACCAGCTGTGAATAGAGACTTTTATCTAGAGTACAGTACGGAAAAGAGCAGGATCAAAAGGGTAACTTTACAGCAGAGAAACCTTACAAACAATACTTCAGCCAGGTGATCAGGGTCAGTATCAACTGTAAAAAAATCATTATGATAGGTCCCTTGATATGATGAAAATGTCACTTTTCCTCTGAGGTTGTACCCCCAAAATACAACCCCAGTCTAATCATGAGAAAAACATTAGACAAATTCCAAAAGAGAGGCATCCTATAAAATACTTGACTAGTACTCCTCAAAACTGTCAAGGTCGTCAAAAACAAGGAAAGTCTGAGAAACCGTCAACAGCCAATAGGAGCTTAAGGAGACATGAGAACTCAAAGTAATGTGGTATCTGGGATGGGAATCTGGGCTAGAAAAGAAAGTTAGGTAAAAACTAAGGAAATCTACATAATGTATGAACTATAGTTAATGATAATGTATCAGGGGTCCCTGGGTGGCTAAGTCGGTTAAGCAGCTGCCTTTGGCTCGGGTCATGATCCCAGGGTTCTGGGATCGAGCCCCACGTCGGGCTCCTTGCTCAGCAGGGAGCCTGCTTTTCTCTCTGCCTGCCGCTCCCCTTGCTTGGTCTCTCTCTCTTTTGCTGACAATAAATAAAGTCTTTTTAAAAAATAACATATCAATATCGGTTCATTAATTGTAATAACGGTATCATACTAACGTAAGATGTTAACAATAGGAGAAACTGAGTGTAACGTATATGGTAATTGACTTATCATCTTCTCAAGTTTTCTATAAATATAATACTGTTCTAAAAAATAAAGTCTAGGGGCGCCTGGGTGGCTCAGTCGTTAAGCGTCTGCCTTCGGCTCAGGCCATGATCCCAGAGTCCTGGGATCGAGCCCCACATCGGGCTCCCTGCTCGGCAGGAGGCCTGCTTCTCCCTCTCCCACTCCCCCTGCCTGTGTTCCCTCTCTCGCTGTGTCTCTCTCTGTCAAATAAATAAAATCTTAAAAAGAAAAAAAGTTGATCTTGGTTTGGCTAAGACAAGGGTGCCATTAACAGAAATAAGGAAGGAAAAAAAAATACCGATTTTGGGATGATTGAAAAGATTGAATTTAAGGTGTGACAATATACTCAAGAATGAAAGTTATTCACCAATCAATTAGAAAAGGCAATTAGCAACTAAGAAGAGAGTCTGGCGCTAGAAACAAAACTAAAGAATTACGGGACAAATAAGCAGTAAGGAAATGAAAACAGTATGTGTAGACCTGTTATTCAAGAAATCAGGCTGTGAACAGAAAAGGGACAAAAATGATAGGCCTTGACTTTTCAATGAAATAGAAAGTGGGAAAAAAAAAGTGAAGCCATCTGCCACAGGAGAGAGAATTAAAAGGGAGGGTCACAGAATGCTGGAAAAGGTTGGGGGAAATAGCCATGACAGAATATAAGGAAAGGAAAAAGAATTGGAGAAGCCGGGATCTTGGCAGAAGTTAACACTAAGTTATATTATACTGAATGTGCTAGTTCTGAGCTTTTTCTCTAGCCATGTGCTGTGGCCTAGACGTAGAAGCCAAGAAAATAGGTGATGGGTATGATTCAAGACAACAGAAGTGCTTGCTAAGTACAGAAGGTCAAAATAAATGAAGAAAAGCAATGAAGATAGTATCAAAGTGGCTAGTCACCAAGGTCTAGCAGAGTAGTATCAAAGGTAGTCATGAAGGTACTGGTAGATGCAATGAAATGGGAAAGGTCAAGAACCTAAGAAGGGCAAAAAGCAGATTCTGTGGATGTGAAATAGTGAAAAAGGTAACTGGTAAGGAGGCTAAAGTGATGGAGAGCACCTGAAAGGGAAGCAGTGTCACAGAGGAGGTCCCGGTTGTAGTGATTCTGATGTGCAGCTACTTTATTTTTTAAGATTTTATTCATTTATTTGAAAGAGAGAGAGAGAAGCAGGGGGAGGAGCAGAGGGAGAAGGACAAGCAGACTCTGTGCTGAGCCCAGAGCCAGATACTGGGCTGGATCTCACAACCCTGAGATCATGACCTGAGCTGAAACCAAGAGTAGGACGTTCAACCGACTGAGCCCCCAAGGCGCCCCTGATGTGTAGCTACTTTAAAAATACAAAGGAGGGGTGCCTGGGTGGTTCAGTTGGTTAAGAGGCCGACTCTTGATCTCAGCTCAGGTCTTGAGCTCAGGGTCGTGAGTTCAAGGCGAGTTAAGCTCCACACTGAGCATGGAGCCTACTTAAAAACAACAACAACAACAAAAAACAAAGGAAAGTCGACCGTCTTGTGCTGAGGAACTATAAGATCACAGTATTCCAAAGATGCTGGAGACACTGAGAATAAAAGCAAAAAACACAGTGGAGAAAAAAGTGTGATGCAATAGGTCTGGGCCCTTGTGGGCAATAAATGATTACTCTGAGGTTTTAGAGAAAATGCTGTAATTGCATGGCAACACCTTCCACAAAGATTAGAGTAACAGTGGTACGTCAATGATCTAGAAGTAGTAAGAGAAAGCAAAAAAGCAGTGTGATTCTTTCTCTTCTACATAGTCACAGAGAACTGAAGATACCTCTTAATGGGAGGGTAGGGTGAAACGTGGTATCTGGATTATCATGAAATCAGTTTAAAGAAAATAGTTAAAAATAAAGAAAAGTGTGCCGGACAATGAGTAATATTTTCAAAGCACACATTAAAAGAAGCCAGTAGATGAAGGACCCATTGAGTAGAGAACAGGAGAAGAGAGGTTCTGTGTACCATTTTGAAATGTGAGGCTGGAGAGAAGTAGCACAGACTTGGCTTGTCATAAGATACCATAGGAGAGGTGGGCTGAGATGTAAAGAATATGCAAAGTAGCAAAGCAAGAAGCATAAAGGGCACATTTTAAAACACACCATACACAGTCTCAGTTCTACAGAAGACTGCAGGTATGCAGTGAAGGCTACAAAAAGAGTAACGCCTTGTACATTTTATAAATTGCTTTCACATATGCTATCTTATTTGATCGTCACTAGGTAGATATTCCTATGCACATTTTTCTAAAGATGAGGAAATTAGGATGGGACAAAACCAGAATGAAAACACTGACTTGAGTTTTCAACACAAAAACCTTCATACACAGTGGACACTTCAGCATCTCAATCAGCCAGGCCGGAAATTCTTCTCTAGCCAGACGTTAATAGTGGATTCTATCAACTTGTCAGAAGGTTTGAGAGGCCACTAGACACCTCCTGTTTGCCTTCTTCCGCCTCAGATCCCTCAACTTTTATCACCATCACCACCAGAGAAGGTACAGAAGGGTGATGCCATCAAGAAGAAAACTCAAGCTGAAAGTTATATTAGGTTCCTCTTCCCTTCACACCTCTGAACCTCAGTGACCCAAAAATGAAGATGAGGGAGAGAATGTAAAAAGCATTATATAGCAATGAAGAGGTCTTTAACCCACACAACTTCAAGAAAGAGAATTAAAACGGAGCTGGGGTAGGGCAGAAGGAAGGTACAGCTGAAAGATGGGGGAGGGGAACAGGGGGAAAAGCTGGAATTGGAGGGAACTGAGAGTACAGGAGCTCCCAAGCCTGGAGAAACCGAAAGAGATATGGGATCTCCAGCTGCTGGAGAAAAGCTAAGGGCCCATGAGGGTCCTGGAGCAGGGACTTGCACTGAAGGACCCCAGGGTTTGGGTGACCGGAAGCAGAGACCCCCAAACACGAGACCAGAAGGGGGCGCAGGTGACACCCCATAGGAAAGAATGAATGGGGAAGGCGGTCCGGAGGGCGGGGCAAAAGGAGGGGCCCCGGGATGGGCGGGGCACAGACCCCTTTCCAAGTCCGAACCCCTGCCCCGAGAGCCCGGGGAGAAGCGGCTCCGCGCCTCCCGCACTCACCGCCGGTCTCGTCAGTTACATAGGGAGTCGCCATCTTGAAAACGCAAACCACTTCCGGCGTGAGCGGGCTGGGGTCCCGCCCCCCTCCCCACCGGAAGTGGAGTCCTGATCGTAGCCAGCCACCATTTTAGTCTTAAAGGGAGAGTACACCATTTCGTGGACGGAGGTGGAGGAGGAAGGGAGAAGAAGCTAGACTTGAATAAAGTAAAAGCCGTAGGCTCTATTACTGCCACTGATACCAATATTGGGTGCCTGCTCCGTGTAAAGCAGTCCTCTGGGCACCGAGAGAAGTTCCGAGGCACGGCCCCTCTCCGTTCGTCCAGGACCTTCGAGGGAAAAGGGGGCAAGGCCCACCTGCACCCGGAAAGTGGGGCTGATAAATGAAAATCTTCAAGCCCTCGCCTGTACCCAGGTCCCAGAGCGGCTTGGGGACATGGGGCGCGAAAACTCCGGGAACGCACTGGGGCGCACCAATGTTGTCAGGGGTGAATGGAAGACCCCAACTGACCCTCTCTTAGAAGGTGGGGAGGTCGGAATCGCGTGTCGATTGCCCTCGGCTACCCAGCTCAACCCTCCGGACTGAGATCCACGAGAGAGGCGCGCAAGGCAGAGGGTGCTGCCGGTCGGTCACCTGTCCCCGCAGCCTCAGGGCTGCTGGCGAATTCCACGACCGAGGAGGCGGCCGGGTTGGGCGGGCGGCCCTGGCTGGCCCTGCCCCTGGGGCGGCCCCGGGGATTCGGGCGGCGTAGTGAGGACGGCCCAAGTTTGCTGGCCTTCGACCCCGGGAGCCTCCTCAGGCTGGGCCCCAGGGTCAGAGGGCAAGGTGAAGGCTTCTGGGCGGAGCCAGTTAATATTCTAATGAACCTCGTCCAGGTCTGGGCTCTGTGGATCCAAAGCGGGGCAACTCAACAATAGTCGAGACTTACACGGTCACTCCCTTTGCAGTCCTGCCCTGCCCCGTGCCTCCCTATTCTGTAGAGGAACCCAAGTGTTTTCCCTCCCCCTCTCTTTTCAGCAGCTGTTGTTCCTTAAGGGCTGAGTCCTGCTAAACTCGTTTCCCCTCCAGCCTGGGAGTGGCCGGCTGCAGGTTCCTCTCCTCAGGTGTTGGCTCTGCCCTCCCCTACTACGTTGTTTTTTCCTTACTGTTTTATGTTCCTCCAAATCCCCCACTTTGGCTTAGGTTAATGTCCAACTGTACCCTGGAACCCGTAGAGAGGGGCAAGTATTAGTGACTACCTCTAAGACTAGGCTGTATGGCCACTTAAAAAATAAAGGTGAGAGTAATGACTGACTAGGAACTTCCTAAAAGCTTTGACATGAAGCTTTTGAAGTTTTCTCAGGTCACAGCTTGTTTTCCATACCATGCTCTACTTTCTTGACTTCCACCAGAGGCCCAACTCAGAAGGTCTCAAAAAGAGTCACTTAAAAACTGGTTTGCATTCGGGACGCCTGGGTGGCTCAGATGGTTAAGCGTCTGCCTTCGGCTCAGGTCGTGATCCCAGGGTCCTGGGATCGAGTCCCGCATCGGGCTCCCTGCTCCGCAGGAAGCCTGCTTCTCTCTCTCTCTCTCTCTCTCTCTCTCTCTCTCTCTCTCTCTCTGACTCTCATGAATAAAAAAAAAACTGGTTTGCATTCAATACACAGTTATTGCAAGTGTTCTAACACCACCATCCTTCACCCCTGCTCTCTTTGAACAGTTGTGCTTCAGCGTCACTGAGTCAGCTTGTCCTTAGCCTTGTTACTAATGATTGTTACAGGTGAGAGTGTGGGATGAAGCCTTTAACTAGAGGGATGCACTGGACCTTTCTGCAAGAGGGAATCCTAAAGTGGCCCCTGTTGACCACCAACCCTAGGCCCTCCCCACTGTGCCCCCAGACATCTTGCCTCAGCTCTGGGTTTGACAGGAAGTGAAACTCAATTGTCTGCCCAGCAGACCTGCTGGGACCCAGCCCTGGGCCCCGGATGTGCCGCACCCCCCCCCCACCACACACACCCTGAGAAGGAAGAGGAGAAAGAAGAGGCTGGGGAGAACAAGGCTGTTGTTTTTTCCTTTCCCTTTGTTCATTGCGGTTTCTTTCTTTCTGATTTTTATGATGTGGTTGATTAAAGAAATGAGCACCTGGAACAGTAGGCATTATACGCCTCCTCCTTAGATGTTTCTTGGCCTTTCTTCCCCTCCCACCCCCACCAATAACTGATGAGATATGATGGAGCACAGATCCTAAAGAAGACACAAAGAGGCCTAGAGTATGACTGATTTCATCCTATTCCTTAGAGAGATCACCCGGTGCCCCACTTTGAAGTCTCAAAAAAAAAGTCTTAACAGGAGCAATTTAACTTCAAGTAGAGACATATCCGAGGATGATGGAGTGAAAAACACAGGTCATACGTAGGGTGGTATCACTGCTGGTATTGTTTGCAAGCAAAGCTGAGTGCCTTAGGCTTGGTATCATTCTAAATGAGAGGTCCAGGGGCAGAAAACTGGAAGAGGTGCTAGGAGACTTGTTCTTTCTTATATTGTATGTTTAGGATGGCTTAGAGTGGGGAGGCTTTACACACACACACACACACACACACACACACACACACACACCCCAAGCCACTCTTTGGTACAGTCCTTAAGCGAGGCTATGTCTTTGGCTGTCTACAGAACTAAGCACAGGACCTGGTGCATAATGGGCCTTCAATAGTGCTTATGGTTCCTTATGACTAAAGAGGTTATATAGGAAGAGGAAATAGAGGTGCCTGACTGGCTCAATCGGTGCGTGGAGTATGCAACTCAAACTCGTGTTGTGAGTTCAAGTCCCATATTGGGTGTGGAGATTACTTTAAAATAATGATTAAGAAAAAAAAAAGGATGGGGAGTAGCAGGGCCCTTGTCTTTTTAAGACCGGGAGACAGGAGCAGAGAGACAGACCTTCTCCAACCCCTGCCTCCCTCAGATCTCCAGTTCAGGTGCAACAATACTCCCAAGCCCTATTACTCAACAGCTACATTTTTTTTTTAAGATTTTATTTATTTATTTGAGAGAGAGAATAAGAGAGAGAGAGTACATGAGAGGGGGGAAGGTCAGAGGGAGAAGCAGACTCCCTGCTGAGCAGGGAGCCCGATGCGGGACTCGATCCCAGGACTCCAGGATCATGATCTGAGCCGAAGGCAGTCGCTTAACCAACTGAGCCACCCAGGCGCCCCCAACAGCTACATTTCTAATAAAAATGGGAGAGTTTGGGGGCACCTGGGTGGCTCAGTCGTTTAGCGTCTGCTTTCGGCTCAGATCCTAGGATCGAGCCCCTGCATCGGGCTCCCCGCTCAGCAGGAAGCCTGCTTCTCCCTCTCCCACTCCCCCTGCTTGTGTTCCCTCTCTCGCTGTGTCTCTCTCTGTCAAATAAATAAATAAAATCTTTTTAAAAAAAAGGGGGGGAGTTTTTCCAGTAAGTCTGTATGGAAACACTCAAGAACTGCTTAGATCCCTCTATTTCCACTAGAGGGCCTCATGTATTCATTCCTTCTCCTCTCCAACCCCCATCAAAAGTATGTATATATTATGTGTGTGTGTATGCATATACACAACATACACATCACACAGTACTCCCCTCCCCCTCTCTTCTACCACCAGATATAAGAGGGAAGATTCCAGGAACTCAAGCCCTGTTACTGTGCCCTACTTCAATGAGAGGTAGGAGGGGGTTAGCCTGGGTTGGGGCGGGGCCAGGGAGCAGGATGCCCCGGTCCCCAGTTCCTACCAGTAAGTCCTAGGCCTCTGTCTATCTCCCTTGTACTCACTGCCAGCCTCACCGCCATTCATGCTGCCCCAAGAGCCTTAACAACTTCAGAACAGATTCCAGACAGGAGGAGCTGAAAGGATCTTCTCTCACCCCTACTTTTGGCCAGGGCCTTTTACAGCACCTGCCAAGGCCAGCAGGTAAAGTGGGAGGGTTAGGGCATGGAGAAAGAGTGGACACAGACCAGAGTGCTCTTTGCACCTAAACAACCCCAGAATTAAGGGAAGGCCCGGAGTCTTGAGAGAAGGAGGTGTACTTACACTGGGGAAAACAGGTCTGAGCCGTCTAGGGTTTGGGTTTTAGGGAGGTGAGAAACCTAGAGGTAAAGGTGGGCCTCAAATAGTGTTAAGCACTGCAGAGCCCATGAGAGGAGGGAAGCATTTGTATCCCAGGATGCAGAGTCTGGGACTCTGGGCTTGCTGCTGTGGAAACTTCTGAGTATGAATTCGGTCAATGGTGGATAGAAAGGAGTTGAGAAGGGAAGTCCCTGGATGGCAGCAATTAGGAGAGGGTCAGAGGTTGCCTGGGTGGGCACCTGCCAAACTGTGCCACCAGCGGGCCCGCCCTCTATCATGACCTCCCACGGTTGGGATAAGGGGAGAGCTGTGAGTGATTAGAAAGAAGGGAAGATAGGGCTCCTGGGTGGCTCAGTCGGTTGAGCGGCTGCCTTCGGCTCGGGTCATGATCCTGGAGTCTCGGGATCGAGTCCCGCATCGGGCTCCCTGCTCCGCAGGGAGTCTGCTTCTCCTTCTGACCCTCTTCCCTCTCGTGCTCTCTCTCATTCTCTCTCTCTCAAATAAATAAAAAAATCTTAAAAAAAGAAAGAAGGGAAGATGGATAGAAACCGAGCTATCCCGAGGCGGGAAGAAGATGAGAAGCGCAAAACGTGGAGAAAGTGGTGCAGACCAGAACCCTGGAGATATTGGGGAGGTTGGGGGCTCAGGCTTGGTGAACTGGAAACAGGGGCCTCCGCATGACTGCAGTTCCCGGAGTCGGGGGCGCGGGCACGGGGCGCGGGCGGGCAGGCCGGGGCGGGGGGCGGGCAGCTGTGTCGTCAGGAACGGGGCGGCCTCGCGGCGGCCGCGCCTGCCTGGTCCGTCCCCTCCAGCCCAGCTCGGGCTCCAGCTCCCGCGCCGGCGCTTCAGCTCCCACCGCGCGCCCTCCGCAGGCAAGGTAGAGACCCCGCGAGCCCCCCAACCCCCGCGCCTCCTGCCCTCCACCCCCGGAGCGGGAGGGGGCGGGGGCCGCGGAAAGGGCCGCCGCCGGGCTAGGGTAGGGCTGCCGGGCCGAGAAGGA